CACAATGCTTATTAGAAAATAAAATAAATCTACTAGATGAACATGATCCAATTGTTATAGCATCAAAAAAACAAAAGCAACAATGGACTCGAACAGATGCCACTGAAGATAAGTATATCTAGGTTTTATGAAATCATGTTGATGAGAGACAGAGAGACTTCATGTTCCAGAAGTTTTTCCGATGTAAGCGAAGAATTACGGTACTCTGCGTAGATGATCCCTCACCCTCACCCTCATCGTTGATCTTACTATATTAAAGAGTCAAGAGTAGAATAAATCTTGAGAGCAAAGACTATTGGTGTTGTGTTGAGATGGCTTTGTCTAGCGTTCGCCATGACGAGGAAGTTAGATGAGCGGTTAGCAATGATCAGTATCGTCTGACTTGCATCATGTGAAACTCTATTGTTCAAATACAATTATAGGTGTTGCCTCAAGTCCTCAAGGAATTGTGTGGCTATATGAGAGACAACAGTTTTCTGCAAATGCGCCAGCTATGTTTAATATGCCTTATGCATTAAAAATGAAGAAGAATAAAGTATGTATCAGTCGTTTACGTAATGCGTTATTGGCCATGATTTACAAACACTCGATATTAAGAACAAAACTGATATATTCACCTGAAGAAAAATGCTTAAAACAGTATATCAAACCGATGCCTGATGAATTTTTAACGTCGAATCATGATGATTATTACTCATTCCAAATAAGTATGGCGAATAATGAACAAGAATTTGATCAAATCATGATTGGAGAAACAAACAAACACTATTTCAACTTAGATACGGGTATTGTGTTTCGTTGTAATGTTGTAAAAATGAATCATGACAGATTGGATGATCAAGATACATTAATAAGAGATGATGTGATTGTACTAAATCTTCATCATTCAGCATTTGACGGGCGTTCGGTAGAACCGTTTATCAAACAATTAGAACTGGCGTATAAAAATCCTGAAAGTATGGCGGATCAGAGTGATAAATCCTTACGATATATTGATTATACAATAAATGAACTGCGAATGCTACAAGATGATTCTCCTGATTCGGAAATGAATATAGCAAGAGAATTTTGGAAAACGATATTCAATGGATATGATATAAATAAACCTAACAAAGTTTTACCATACGATTATTGTGAAACTGTCGAAATTGTTGGTCGATCCGGTTTTGGTGGTACTCTGTGTAGTTCGATTGAAGATGAGGAATTGGTTTGTAGTATGTTGACACTTGTGCAAGAACATAACGTGTCTATGTTTCAATTATTTTTAACTTGTTATCATTTGTTCATTTATAAATTAACAGATGATAATG